GCGATCTCAGGGGCGATGAGATTTCAAAATCTCAAACAAATATGTATTTCGTTAAATCACGATTTCTTAATTTAATAAACTTTTTCCTGAAACACACAACGTACTTAACGAACCGAAATACTCCCTTCCAATTACTCATCCTCCTTTTCTATAACAAGATATGATATCAAGAATACCAAAAATACCAAGACTGCTCGAACTATCGGTATGAGCATTTCCTCTCAGCAATGTTACTAGGATGCTCGCACATGCTGAGCGCAGCTATGCCAGGCCTTTCGATCTTGAACTGCATGCCTCCAGTTAACACTCACCGCCTGTCCGACGTTACTTCATATAAATCATTCGTATAATAAAAGTTTAGCCCTTACTGCTTACACTTATTTAATCTTGCCCATTTTTATTGCTCCTATTTTGTTATTAACCCAAAAATCAGTCTTTCTTGTACTTTATATCTTCAGCTACGCTTGACGCATTCCACGTTACTGTGTTACATCTGGATTCACAGCAGCCTTCACTTAAAAAGAAGACTGGTCAGTATCTTTTTTAAAAAACTGTAGATTTAAATTTTCATTCTACGCGAAACTTAATCAAAAAAGGAAATGAATAACGACAGGGATTACCACTTTTCAGTTCAGATAGCAATAGCAAACTCTGACTTCGATTAGCTCCAAGACTGCGTAAGCTGCAAAGAAATACACAAATATATTAGAATTAATCACAATTGGCCAAAGATCAGCGGCGAACAACGATACAGCGTTTTCTTTTTCGTTATCACATCACAAAATAGCGATAAGGAGAAATGCACAAATAAAAACTTGTTTTTCATATTTGCTTCAAAAAATTGCCGGAAAATCAAAATGAATGAGTACGACCCGATTGGTACCGGACGACGTCGGTGAAAACGCCTGAACGGCCGATGTGTGGACTGAAGACAGATTTGTCCTTACAATTCTTTTTAAAAATGCTCATAAAACATGGTCAAAGTTGAAAATCAAATTCCCCTCCTTATTCTGTCTCGTGAGAAGCGGAGGCACTCGGAAAGTAGTCTAAGTGATAGCAAATGCCAACAGCAATCACTCCTGATAAGAATATCAATAACTTTTTTTTGTAGAGGGTTGCTTACAAGCAAGCTTTTGGCGGTTTAACTTCTTAGCACATATCATTACCAATTTACCAGCGAAACGAATGAATGAAATATAGAAGAACTGGTTGTTCCACCGGAGGAATCGAACCTTCGACCTAATACACGATAAAGGGGATACTTCCCATCATGCCCGCTTACGATGAAATACAGTAACACATTTCATTCAAACTAAAGACAGTCATAAAGTAATGCACAAACAAGGCAATTTAAGAATATCAAGCAACGGATCTGCTTTCGAGATATGGGTATGCGAATTTTCGGAAGATCCAGGCGCTCAAGCAAAAAATCCTAGGATGTATACCTTCGATGATCGAAAACACAAAAAGGAACAATGTAAAAATTCACGTTTAACGACTTTCATGGATTTAGTGCGCAGATAGAGCTAGTAAACAGGCGAAATGGAGATGTATACTTTAGCTGGTACATGGCGTGTAAAGTCCAAACCAAACGAATGTGCAGAATATTGGCGTTGACCGTTGGGTTGCAACCAATACTGTCATTCTTCGTCGTTGCAGCGGAGGAGCCAGTGTGATCTTAATGACCACAGAAATGGAACTTGGATTAGATTCATTAGGAGAAAAAACTAACTATAGCCATGTCTTTTTGAGAAAGAAAAGATGCATTTGCGTGAACTTTAGTATAGCTTTCTATCTTAATTGGTTCCTGAGATTAACTTTTCGCCAAAAAATTTGCATATTTTTGAGTTGTCCATATGGGAGACACAGGCATACGCGAATGATAATATTAAGACGGAAAGATCGCAGAAGGGTGGACAAATACTCCCGGGTTTTCAGTTTTCTAACTTTTATGGTTCTCGAGTTGAAAGGGGTGACAAAAAGTGCGAACGCACAGACGCACGGACACACACACACACACCCTCTTGTCAATATATGTTTTTTCATTTGCATAAAATGCAAAACCGCATAGTAATACGCAAAACGCATAAGAACTGAGTAGGCCAGAAGTTTATTTAGTTTTCGAGTTCAATAATTCAGCTAGCACTAATCTGCTTT